TGAGTTGCTAAGAAGATAAAAGACATGCACAGAATGAAGAGGCACATAAGCTCCTTGCATTCTAGGGTATCTGGTATTACTCAGTCTTGAGGTATGTCGTAGATTACACCATGGCATCCCTTCTGACGTTTGTCATTTAGCTGCTACCCCCTGATCAATCAACACTAAATGGGTTAATGTAGCAGGAGCTTGCCGGTCACCTCATGACGACATGGGTCCATGAGGTCACGGGAGCAGCAAACGCTCCCCTGTGATTGGTCGAACGATGACGTCGCCACAAGGTCATACATCATAGCTAATGATGAGTGTAGACTAAGTGTTACATTCAAGGGGCCTGCTTGCTCGTAACCCTATTTCCCCTTCAGGTAAATCAATATGCCATCAGAGAGCCAAGGAAAAAACGTCTGTTGAATTCTCCTCCTGTGACAGTTTCAACATTTCATCATACTGTAGAGTGTAGACACATGTACATACATCAATAATTTTCCATGAAGGACATACATGTACACGTGTATGATTTATCTAAGATGTGTTAGGATTTATTGGCAATAAACCAAGGAAGTAGTTTATTATCAAATCCAATACCACAACAAATGTTTTCAGTCAAACCTAGTTTTAAAAAAAGAAAATCTTTCTCCAAAGCAGCTCTAAATTCTTAGTTTAATAATGAATGAAATTGTAAGATATCATTTGTTGTTGTTTTAGCAAAAGCTCTTTTTGAATTTCCCTGACCTATTTTACAGTTTACCGATGTAAATCACCCTCCACTGCTGTATATATGTATATTCAATTCAATTTGTTTTCTTTGCAATGCGCACACATATTGTTTTGGGCATCATGCCTGTATTATTATTATACAATGTCTTACCATCTAAAGAAGATAAAACAGCTGAACCCAAATTGCTTCCTAAACACAACTAAAGTGCGAATTAACCATCCTCTCTCAACATGCTGTTCCATGCCAACTATACATATATGTACATCGGACATCAAGGGCTTATTTCATAGATTATCAGTCAACACCAATGTCACATTTGCTGCATGTGTGGCCTTGGCAAAATGCATTCCTACTTTTCAACATGTATGCAGCAGGGACCTGGATACAGCCATGTTCTTTCTATTGATTAGAATACATAATGAAAATGGCCCATTCCTTTACGGTTGATGAATTTTTAAATCAATCGGTCTACATATTCCTGCTATTAACGCACCATTTTTTTTTTAATGAGTAGATTTGAGCCCCATCCCAAACCCCAGGGGACTTTGCAATCAATGTGATAATGACTTTATGAATAAGGTATGAAATTCTCATTTCATTCTATGCTTCTCTGTTTTCATTCTAAAGCACATTTTGTTGTTCTCTTCCACTGGGACTTTTGTTAAACTTTCGCTTCAAATTATCCTAGGGGAAAGAATCTTTTAAGTGGCTCTTGAGGGACAATGAGGTGGGGGTACTTCAGTATCTGCAAGGGGGGGGGGTATCAAACAGAACATTCACCACAAGTGCTGTCTGTAATGCCAACCTTCATCATCCCCTATCTCTCTCCCCCCCCCCCTTCCCCCTCCCTTCTCATCACACCCTTTTCCTACCACAGACTGGGGTAAAAGCATTCCACACCCATCTGCTGAAAAGCTCCCCTCATCTTGTCCTGTTTATCCTTTCCCTACCAGCGAGAAAAAAGCCCCTCATGTCTGGCTGCCAGCGGCTTGATGGATGGATGCGATTGACTCCAGGCTATACCCTTATAACACCAAGTTAACCTAATAATGTTTGCTTTACAGCAGAACCTGGACACAAGGACACACGTTGTTCTGAGCTCCTAACAGCCAGGCAGCCAGTCAGGCAATCAGGGGCTTAAAATTTACACACGCTATGGGCAATTTCATACGTGGAGCTATTCTGAAGCTAATAATTTACTATAATAATTTTATCCTCATTAACCGTAGAATTTTTGGTTTATTATTATTTATTTCAAGATACTTGTCATTGCTACAAAGAAGCTTGTTCTTAGAGCATATTTATTTTTATTTTTTGAATAAACATTCTTCCCAAAACAGAGAATTGGTGAGGCCTGGTTATGCTTTTTATCTAGTACTTGGGGCAAGTATTAATTTATTGCGCTAGTACATGATCTTGAGCATAATAAACAAATGTTAATGATAATCCAAAAAGAATAACAAGAATAAACCCCCTTAATCCTGAATGTTCTTTCATCTTTGTACATGAACAAATAATAATGACCTTTTCCAGAAAGCATTTGTATTCCCTGTGGATATCATTTTCATTCTTTTCGCCCATCACGATTGGTAACAATACCTCAATAACGAAAGAGGCATCAAATATTGATGATGTTTTCCAATCATGGTTTTAATAGTGGCCTGAAGAATCGGAACAGCAGATTGATCCTAAGAAAGGAGAGCAGCAACAATCATCTCGAGGCAGAGCCCTGAAGATAAGGATATAATCATGGATGCTCCTACACCCACTTCTTTACTGGTTTTAGTACTGCACTCGAAAGGTTAACCGTCTATAGATAAAGCCTTTTAAGAAATAACGTTTTAGTCAACCTTTTAGCTTTATCTTTGATTGCGCAGGTAGATTGATTTCGTACTGGATACTGGTAATGAGATAGAATGATCAACAGGGGTTGCCAACCTCAAAAAAGAGTACTAAAATATATCATTTCATTTGATGAAGCTCCTTTTGGAAATGATGTAAAGTAAATCATGTATCCTCGAACCTCAACACATTTTATTTTTCACTATTTTTTTCTTTTTTGTGCCTCCTGATCCCTAAACACTCTTCAAATTAATCAGAATTGGGCGACTTTTCATGGGAAGTTATACTGCTTATAGACACGAGTCTGGGATTATTCAAGTAGACAAGTATCTTGGTGTACGTGTAAATGAACCCTTTGATGAAAGAACTTGGTGTAAGTTACCCTCATCTTGTTTCAGCCTACATGTATGTAATCGCTCCCTCGCCCTCGCCCCCATACATTAACGGGCCGAGCGGCAAAAACAACCGCTTACACCCTAATTCTAGGAAATTCTCGTCTTCATTGCATCTGACAGCTCCCACTCTCCCCGCCTAATTCATATCCATTATCTGCTTGTACTTTGACGACAGACCTGCCAAGCCCGGTTGGCTGCGGGTGGGGGTGTTTGACGTTCGGGCGCAAGTGTCAGACGGTCATGGCCCACATAGATTCAGGGGGAACAACAGCCAGGACGTGTCACTAGCGCAAAACAATAGGGGGCTTGATGGTTCCTGGGCACAAGGTTGATGGCATCAATCTAAAATCAAGCTGTCTAATTCGCTTCATTTAATGTCTGAAGAATGATTAATAGCACGTCACAGTTTTTGAATGTCAGATAATATGTTAACATCAGCATTAGATTTCAGATTTTATCCAAAGTTTATTTGTGTAAATATTGCAGCCACTCTTTCATTTGGATTCACGTTATGAAAAATCCCAGTGTAAGAGCAGTGTTTTAACATCAGCATTAGATTTCACCTTCCAGCTCAACTAATCTGATCCAAATCTTATACAAATTGCAGTTAAAAAAAATATTCTAATGAACGAATGAAAATAGAGCCTTTGTGATATTTGTTAGCAATTACAGTTCAAAGTACAGCCAACATCTTCTTTGGGTGATATTTTCACAAGTTTTCTATAGTTTTTTAAAAACGGTTTATCTTCCTGACCATTTACATATAAGATTTTTTTTAAACAAGATTCATTGGGCCCCCTGTAATAAAATCTTATTGATAGCACTCTTTTAGAGTTATATTGTAAAGGGCAAGTCAGACTTAGCCCAAGCCTTTTTTTTTCCTCACCATTTGAACGGTACACCATCCTTCCTGTACGTTCACACCCTGGTTCAAGTATACCATGTTGGTGACCTGGAGGCCTTAATGGCCTCACCAGCCACCTCCCACAACGAGGCCCTTACGACAGGGATCCTGCTCCGTCAAGACGCACACTGCCTTCTGAGAAGACACGCTGGGTACTAATTGCTCTGCTTATTTTGGTGACCTAGTCGCAAGCGGCACACGCTATGCTTGAGATCTTACGTCGATGTATCAAGGCACACTTTGCAATTCGAAATGCTATACTGTTGCTTGCTGTTTTAAGGAGCAAAGTAGCTACTAAGCTATAGCCTGGTATATATTACTGCTAGTTTTAGGAACTAGTATGTTCCCACTTTGGAAATGCTGTGTGCATATGTCAGTTTATGAAACGTCCACGGAATTATGTATGAACCATCTTCCTCTTGCTCTGAGGCTAATAAAGAGTCCATCAAAATCGCTCTTTTGGGGCAAGCCAAAAAATTGATCTTACCCTTTTAAATAAATTAGGGTATAGGAACCATTCATGAAAGCATTTCTGAGTTTTAAAGCTCATCTTGTGTTATTCAGAGAGTTAATGGTTGGACAAGTAAAATACAAAAATAGAAACATGCTGGAAATAATATTCACTAAAATCACAACACAACTTTGCACATACAGTACAACACCACAAATTATTCATATCGTCATACTACTAAGCTCCATTCAAGCATCTTCCTTTGCTTTTAAATTACACTGCTATTATGCATTTTCTCCATAAGTTGTTGAAGGAGATAATTTGTAGGTGCAAACTTTTCAGAACATTTTGTTTAATTCTGTGAAATATATTTTCTACCATTACCATATCAAGATTTACTTGAATATTCTGTGAAATTTTTGGATTTTCTTTCCTTTTTAATCTCACTGGCAGGTTGTGTATGTCACACCAATCTTTAGACCGTTTTCTCTCTTTTGTAGAGATGTAGCTTTACTAGGCTGCTAAAGGCCCACTTCCAAAATCTCGCTTGGCGTTGGAATTTTGTACAAGCCAAATCGTTCATGAGAAGTACACACTTGCTCAAATACGATGATGTACCTGCCTCACTAGTGGTTACAAGCTTCTTGAGAAGCTTTATCTACAGCTCAGTGACACCATTAATTAATTTACCTGAGATTTCTACAATATCTCCTGGCACCAGCTCCCTGGCTCGTATCCTCTGGACACCGTTCTTGTCTTGACGTACGACCTTGGCGATCTCCGGCTCGTACTCCTTCAGCGCCTCGATGGCGCTCTCCGCATTGCGCTCCTGTGAAGGGGGTAAATAAATGGAATTGAGTATTAAAAAATAAATAAATAAAATAAAAACGTTACTTATAAAGCGCTTACCACCGAAGTCTCTAAGCGCTATAGAAGTATAAATGGTTTGAAAGTGGTAAAAGAAAGTTCATGTGCTGACATGCATTTAGGGAATTTAGGATCTACTGGTCTGTTCTCCTCTTTCTGATTACAAAGTTAATGGTAATAAACTTTTTTTTAATCCAAATAATTTAGACATCCATTAAGTTGCTGACACTTTTCCCTTTTCCCATTTCTATGTGGTGGTCTTAATAAATGCAAGTAAATGTACACACGTACTAAATGCATTCATGAATCATTTACTAGGTTTACGTTTTGGCTGGCGATCCATTCTCATATGTGACACTTGGTCATGTCAACAGCGAACCATGGAAATAGGTCCTGAGTTTATCCAGAAGGAACTCGGCCATAGATCACATCAACAAAAACTGAAAAGCGAGACGCCGAGCTAGCTGTGTGACTCTCAGAGTCACCGACAGGGATAGGGTACTGACATTTGTAATGTACATGAATGCTGAATGGTACCTTGGGTCATTTTGATAATACTACAGCCTGCATTTATTTTTCAATAGCATTACTAGTGAATGAGTCAAGATAAACATATATGTAATGAATCAACGACTTGTTTGCGGTAATCTGAACGAGTCTGTCAGTATAAGTAGGCTACTTCAAATTACAACAAAAATAACAAACAAACTGTGGTTTGGATTACATGTAACCTTTTCTATGCCATAGGGGAAAATTCTCACCCATATAATTCACTTCATGTTAGGCCTGCATCAGGGAATAATTTTCCTGGTATCGCATCGCAATTTGCTATGCATTTTTGCATGACTGCTATACAAAATATCTTTTGTGTAGCAGTTTTCTTCCATAGAAATGTACAGAATTTCATTTGAAATATTTATCCATCGGCTGAAATTGCTAATCAAAAAATTTGAGGAAAATTATTCCCTGTGCATATAAATGTAAATAGTTTTTTTGTTTGCATGTTTTGTGTTGAGTATTGCAAAGTTTGTTACCATGGAAATGGAAACATTATATGCTAAATTTAATAATTGATTAAATCTAAATTATCGCAATTATTGTAGCCCAGAATTTTTTGCACAAACAAAATATTTAAAAATTGCACGAGTGGTTCAAATTCGCACAAGTTTCGTGTTGTAAATTAACTGAATCACAATTGATACTATCCTGAATTTTGTTACTTCATGTAATTTCTTACGTTAACATGGCTGTAGCTTTCATATCACATAATAGTGTGGTTTTACAGTACAATATAATTTAGGAAACAAGAAGGGTTTAAAGGTAATACAAAGTTTTGGGAAATTTTGAAAATTGGGTGGATAGTGAATCTTTACAATTTTGATATGTTTGGATGCCCCTGTGGATAATAAGTACAAAAAAAATTAGCCCATGAAACATTTCTGTTTTCGAGAAAAATTGAACATAAAAATTTACCGGTGCTCCCGGTAAATTTTGATAAATTTCAAATAGCGCCTATGGCCGTACAATAGTAGCTTCGACCATAAAAATCTCAGAATATGTAGTTGTGATATATAATTTCCAAACGGGAATAGCTAATCGGTCGATTTTAGTCAAGAAACATTGTTTCATAGCCAAATTAATATCTTGACCTTGAGAGGGAGCTATACAACATAAAGAGTTTATTGTTTATAATTTCATAACTTCGGACTCGATTTCAACGACGACGATCAATGAATATTGTAGGAACGTATATGCTTCCAATATTTTAATTTGAACCGAATTCATGACCCCATACCAAAACTTTGTAATATCTTTAACACATTCTTGCAACATTCTTCCGCTTCTCCTTAACCCGGTTGCACTTCCTAGCTGTTACCCCGGTGTGCACTACCACCCACAGTCTAGTCTAGATGGCTATGCACTTCTTGATCCACAAGTTTTACAATGATATGGCAGGTGGCTTAAGGTTTCCTTCTCTTATGAAATATTGATCAGTATTTCCTACTCCCCGCTTCCTGTTTGTTATTCATGCCCAAACCTTCAATGGAAGACGTGTATATCATTTATCCAAGACCTATTTCTTATGTATATAGGCCTTGACTCCATTTGGAAAAAAAGTATTCCTTGAATTCTTTGGATGATATTCTTGTAGCGAGTTAAATTCAACTCAAACTTTCATTTGGATTTGATTGAGTTCCTCAAGGTGCCCCACTGAAGTAACACCTGCATGATTCCATGGCCCCTCTTTCACTAAACTTGAGAACAACTTATGTCAATTGATACCGAAGCAACTGAAAAACCTTGTATTTGAGTGGCTATGAGCACCATGGTAGTTCTTATTGATGAAAAATCTGTTGAAACTAGACCCAGATATTTAAAAAGACCTCTTGACTAGATGAGACGCTCGAGTCTTAAGAGGTGGCAATTGACGTCATTTCAATTTCAGTTGAAATTGTAGAACTTACCTGCCATACTCCTACTACGGCATTGGCGATCAAGATGAGTAGGATGACAAACGGCTCCACAAAGGCTGTCACTTTCTCATCTTCATCTTCCTCAAACAATGCAAGAATCTGTAAAATAAAATACAGCACAAAAGTTAAGAAAGTTGTAGTCATAGCAAAATTTCATGTGTGCCGTTTCAGATGACCACAAAAATGGTATTCTTTATCACAGCATGTGTAACACCCATTCTGATTCTAGTATTTAAATTAACCAAGAAGCATAAATGTGCATGCATTAATATAACACTGGGGTCATTCATAAAATCTGATATGAAATAAATATACATTCAGATTTTGTGGTTGTAGTATTTCTTTAATTGTAACATTATACACATACATGTTTCTATTCCCAACACAAATATTCTTGAACACATGTACTGTATATGAGCATACAGTAGCAATCCCTTCTATTCCATGGTGTAATTTACAATAGATTTTATTCTCCATTTAATACGTATCAACCCTTTTTCACACACACATGTTGTAGCTGCGACCGGCAGCCCTTATTTTCCCTCTGTGTGGCTACAAAGTGACCATTGTTGGTTTGAACTGTGGACTTTCATTTGTTAGTAAATTCCTGATAATACAAGTTTATAGATTTAAAAAGCACACTTACACTTTGACCTTTACAACTTAACCAAAGAGGTAGAACGTATACAATGCCTAAATACAACACTGCATTTGTTTTTATGCATGAGAAGGATTCAGAGACATTACTGAATGAATGAATGAATGAATACAGGATATTTGTATGTATTAGACATGAGATTGTAGTTTTTATCTCTAAGTTATCCATAGCTTTCAATGTACAAAATTTAATAATGTGGAGTAAATGGTGAAAAAGACTTTAAGAGAAGGTTGCGATCTGGTACACCCAAGGAAAAATTTGCTACACGTAGCTTTCTCATCCCTTGACGTCAGTATGGAAAAATATTACAGTATAAGTGTGCACTGAAAGTATTGCTCTTTGAATGCCTTCTTAATCTAAATTTGATGAGACATTCAATTTGTAGCTAAAATGTTTGGACCAGGCCTTCATGGCACATGTACATGTGTATGTGTCTGTGTACAGTGCTGTGGTCATTCAACAAGACTGGGTCAATTTATTAACAATTTCCGAAACCTCACAGCTTATGTCAAACCATAACCAGAGCTCAACTTCATTGTTAATTCCACACTCTAGTATCACTCATCTCTTGCTTGCTCTCTCTCTCTCTCCATCTCTGTCTTATTCTCTCTTTCTCTCCATGAGTCCATCTCTCTCTGTCTTTAATTTTCTTTCTCTCCCTCTCATGATTAATTTGATGGATGAAGAAAAAAAATCCTCACACCCAAACTACCGTAACAAAAGCTGAGGCCAAGCCACTGGTCAACAGTCTCATTCAAATTAACCAACGAAGGCATATAACACAATACGCCCAAGACACGCATAAAACTTAATGAGATTAGCAAATTAATTAGATTGGCTTTTCTTCCCACCCTTATAATGAATCTAGTCCCAAGTGAATCTGAAGCAACAATATAGTTTCTTTGTCCTAAGTCCTATCCCTGAGGAGGGGGTACCTGAACATGTAGATGTCAAAATTGAATTTCAATTCAATCAGATTCTTGACCATGATATTCTAATGCCATGTACATGTACATGTATTAAACAGACCCCTAGATTTTGAGCACTATTATCATTTCTATGTATAATACATATTACATATGAATATACAAGTACAATCATAGAGCTGTGCAAAACTAAATGAATTGTAAATGTGATTTATAGCACATTCTCATTTAACATTGCTTTTACACTGATCTCTATTACTGTCACTGAGATGTCCACATTTCATATTCTGATTTAAAATCTCCTTTTTCCAACTAAAAAGACACAATTTCTGTACCGGTAATTATACCGCCATTTTCATCCCCCTTGACCCAATCACATCAAAAATTTAAAAATCCACCATCAAAAGAGTAAATTTGTTTATATGTTTCAGTACAATCAAATGTAAGGAGGGATATGAAAGTTGATAAAGAAGGCTGTTTCCATTTCAACTTGCAATTAAAGTCCAACAGAACAGTAATATATTATAGCACCATGAGCTGTACACTGTACATGTATGTACATATATTACCAACAAGCTACCAAGCATACAAACATGTACTTTACACACTGAAATTATATTCCTTGTAGTTCAATATTAATAGCGCTTCATTGCATTCATGATGGCGCGGTGTAATAAACTTCATCGCAAAAGCCGTGCAAATGAGAGTCTCCTGAGACTTCTAAAGAAAGGCGGATATTGAAAGGTTTCTCTCTGATTGGCAGGGCAGTTGATCAGCGGCAAACGCCATTCACTCAATGCAACTAGTGGTAAACTCAGAATAGTACAGTAGTCTTCTTCAAAGACATCAGGTTTCTGTTTATTTATTTGTTTAATTTATAACATACAAAAAGAATAACCTGACAGCTGAACTTGATGATCAATGCATTTGTTTCAAGACCAAACAAAATGATTGTATTTCAAAGCTTCTTCTTTTTCATTTTTTATTTATCACTAGCACTGAAATATTTACCCCAAAACTAATCAATTTCAGTATTTGTCCTTTGAATTTATAATGGATGACACTTTACCTGAAGAAAGTCATAGATTACAATACATCAGTAAAACATGTACACAAAGTCAGACTAAATATGCATTATGCACATTGTACATGCAGACCGTAAGTGCCAATTTTCTTGTACAGTACCCGTACAGCTTCCTCTGCATAGGGTATTATTTTCAATCAGACAATTTTAAGGAAAAAGTGATGAAGAAAACCATCCCAAAGATGATACAAAAGATGAATGACCATGAGAAATTGTAACTCATATCCGGATGAGGATTTTCTTCGCCATTATACAGTGTGTACATTTAGAGTCTGGGGAAGTCTTCAATTTCTGATCAGAATAAACCTTCATCAGCTTGCAAGGTAAGAAATCATCAAGGGCCATTAAGACGCTAGCCTGGCATCATCATGATTATTATCCATCTGCGGGGTCCTTTATCGGTCCTTTCGGTATATCTAAATTCCAATTGCTCCAGTCGAAGTCGAGCATTGAAAGCATAGATGAGAACAAAATTGCTATCTTTGGCCTATGATTGGTGCAGTTGACCAGAAATCAAATTTAACACTGGCAGCTAATCTGCAAATTCTTCACGAAAATGAGAAGTTTCTTTTCTCTTAACTGCCTTTTTTCACGACAAAGGCCTTTCAACTACATGAACATCATGACCCCCCCCCCCCCTTAAAAAAGTAAAGATCATACATCTTTGGCCGATGTGTACGAGGAAGGACATACTTTATACATGTAGTTGATGCAACACATGTAGTTGATGCATTCTATTCATATTTTTCCATATCAAAAGAATATTGGAAGAGAGGTTACGACAAATTGCATTGGAGTATTACACACATGGGCTTTGCCTGATGTACAGTATTGTACATAACCCATGTAGTAGGCTCATGTCTGTGACTCGAGAGGTATGCAGGGCCAGCATACCTTGCATTCTTAAGGACCTAGGCCTACCATTTGCAGAGAGAGAGAGAGAGAGAGATGGAGCTAGCTGGTAAAGTTAGAGAGCGAGCATATTCTTGGAACCTTGTGCATGTAATGTAATGTACTTGCCCTACAAGACCTATCTCCCACTGGCCCATGCATGCAGGAGATCAGGGCCACGGTTAGTTCACCACCACAGACCCCACTTGACTTTCATTGTAAGACTCCAGCTGGACCCCTTGGTGGAACAGCACCACCATGTTGGTGGCTGCTGAGTGGGGCCATCCAGCTATTTATTTCAAATAGTATGTGTCCACATTGTGTAATGTTTTGATTATTGTACTTCTTTTAATACGAAAATAAATTTAAATCAAAGCAAATCAAATCGAATAAGAGGTCTGGGTCATATAGCAAATGGAGTTGGAATTTTGTTCCTGTGATGTAACATGGAGTATTGGAGTTTGCATGCACAGAATTTGTGGGTCATAGTACAGCGTCTGAACAATATAGACTACCATTATATGTACTACCAACATACAGTACATTGTACACATGCATGTAGCTCCCATTTCCAATATTTTACAACATTACACTCGACAAGTTTCCATTTTGAAACTGGTCTAGGCTTGACTCAAGTCACAGTATATTTTGATTATCAAATCAGAGTCTGTCCTTGCAGACTAGATGTAGCAATAGACCTTGTAATCAAATAGAATAATAACCACAAATGTACAAATATTGCAATCGCAAATATCAAAAATACATTTGACAAGTTCAGGAAGGTGTGATAAAAATGGAAACACATTTGAAGGCAAAATATGTTTACATTTGAGGTTTACGTATGACATTTGTGGTTATTTTAACATTTGCAGGTGCTACTGTTTTTACATTCGTGGTTGATTTTTACATTTGTGAGCTCTTGCCTCTTGGACAGTATACAGTATGTACATGTAGCTAGGCTTACAGCTGGAGCTTAAATAGCCTTTTTCTTATGCATTGTACATGTAACTTGCATAACACACAACCCTTATGAGCCAAAGTGTAGGGCTACAGTACATGGATAGTACAGTGAAGATGAACTTAATGACCCGTGTCCTTAAATTACTTCCTGCCGTGTTAAAAAAAAAAAACAGTATGAATCCAACTGCAAATGAGTGCACAACATGGTATAAACATACATGTATCTTACACATACTTCTATAGTTGTACATAATTTATTCAGCGACAGTTGCTCTACAGTTATTTCTACTCCAACCAAATTTCTTACTTTGACCCTTGACCTATATATATTATGCAACCCAAATTCTCACCCTAAACCTACATGTATCCAAAATTCCATCACAACCCTAACCTTAATTAACCCTACTTCTTTGACCAAAAAAAGTGACAGAGCAAATGTCACTTGAGTAAAGGTTCAGTTGGATCTTCACATCAATGTTATTCTGGAGTAACCAGAGAAAATTATAGATTTTGTCATTCCTGGTTTGCTCTAAATTGCTCACGAAGAGACTGCCCTTGGGAGACAAGACCAAATAGCCTGGTAGACTGATCGATATTTCTCTAATAAAGAGAATGTTGAGTTCCGAGAGGCATGGAAAGGTGAAAAGTAATTTGTGATGTTTTTTATTTTAGTGCAGAAGAGACTATCATAGAAAAATGTCCGCTAAAAAGGATGGTTCTTCAAATGCCCTCATATTCACAATAAAGTCAAACCTGTCTTGGTGGCCACGCATTTTGTCTTTCAAGAAAGAAATGTGTATCTGCCTACAGTGACTGGTTTTTCTGTTTCCTGTGGGTGACCTTAATAGACAGGTTTGACTGTATGACAATTAACAGCTTGTGGCCCACACTTTCATGGCACATGTTTGTGAACATGATACTTAGGTAGTTCCATGTACACTGGACCAAACTATTATCATTTTGATGATTCCAAAACCTCAAAGTACATGTACACCAATAACTGTGTGCTGCATTATCAACTTTTTCCGATCCCTTCCACATAGCATCTTTCACATTGCAATGGCATGACCTGGGACCCATTTCACAAAGCCTTTTTTCAATGACAAATGACAAAAATCAGTGACAAATCTGCTGAAAACCAATCAGAAGCAGGGATTTCAGTTGCTTATAACAAAAACTGTCATTTGTCACTGATGACAAGTTTTGTGAAATGGGGCCCAGAACTCAACTTAATCTTTAAGTCTTAGTAACATCTACATGTACACTGTACCAATGATTCCTAAGCGGTGCTCCTACTGAACTACATTAAGTACATTTGGTGTTCAATATTAGATCATGTTTGATGTATAAGGTTGTAAATGTAATGTTAGCGCCATAGATGTACATGTAGCCTTGAGGCAAGTAGCCATTTACAAAAGTACATGTTACTAGGCATGTGGGAAAGTCAACACTCTAGAAGAAAAAAAGAAATTACTTCAGCTACTGACTATATTTTGAATGTGAAGTTGAATATCAATTTTTGATTGACTCTTACAGTGAACTTTCCATATCATCTCACAAGAGATCTACATGTATGACCTGCCATTGAAAGACACATGGCTATTAATGTCCAGAATTCATTTAGTCATGAAAAATTTCCTCAGCTGCCCGCAAAGAAGGCAGACGCGATATGTACATGTACCTCATAGCAGTAATGGCCTTCTCTTGCTAGCCAATGACTTGCCTTCATCTTTTCCCCAATTAAAAATTCACTCATGCAGAAGGATTGACAACAATTGAAGAAATTTTACCTGGCGAGCGAGCAAGATGATTCTGTCAAGGATACTTCTATTAAAGAAATATCTCAAGAGAAATCTACTTTTATCTCCTTTTTCACACACTGCATTATTATATTGTTCGTGCAGGCCTACATGTTCTGTGTAGAGATGCAATGTGTAAAGGGTAAAATGGTGGACAGGAGCATCAAGAAGCGGAAGAGGAAGAAGTAAAGTGATATTTAAATAAATAAGGGTTACATGAACATGATTCAAAAACAAAATCTTTGCAAAAAGTACCAGACATCAGGTATAATTTGCAAAACAAAACAAAACCACACCAACAAAAATGAAAGAAAGAAATATTCTATAGAATGTTCAGTTCGGAACTTGACATGTACGATAATATGGTAACATTTTTTTTTTAAAGGGATCCGGTAACTTTGTCTCAGATTCTGAAACAAAATTCTGGATTTAGCTCATGATGCAATGATAATTATAAACCTTTACGTCAGTCAGGAACCCCATGCCTTCTACAAGCCGATCGCCCGTCTGATTATCAAGATATTTATGATTGGAATTACAAATTTTGAAAACCGTTCGCCTGACGGTTTTCATAACACTACAGTTTATTGGGGAAAACGAGTATGGTAAAACCGGTCACTCAAAGATATTTACTTTTTTGAGGCACTTCTTGATCATTTTCAAGCGCAATTTTTTTAGGGCTTCAATATTACACCATATCACAGACACCGATAACACGTAGGGCCGTGTATCTCAGATTTAACATTGTTAAACGATCCCTTTAAATCTTCAAAGTTATTCTACATGTAAATTGCTGATCAGTTGTAACTTGGTATAGAACAATCACAGAAATAGGGACTTTTAGATTCGCACGACGACAACATGGATTGCTACGATCAACGTCCTTTTAATGCATTGCCTTGAATGGACGTCACACGTATCAGTCCACGTAAATCTAAAAGTCCCTAATGACCAAATTGTGAGACGTTAATGTAAAACTGAACACACAATCAACAACAAATAAATGCATATGGGTACACTTTGATGCTGTGAAAATGAACTTCTACAATTTTATTAGCGACCTTTTTCATTTAACATTCATTGTTACTCTGATGTTTCATTTCCCCCACCCTTTCATATTTTATCATTTGTATACAAAATGAATGAGAAAAAGAAGCCTTTTAATTAACTTCATATTGAAGTTCCAAACTTCCAATTTCCAAACTGTCTACATACTGATTTCATTACGAAAGAACAATGAGCACATTATCTGAAATCCATCATACATGTAGATGTACATTTCAAGAGCAGACAAAACAAAGTCAGGACATGTGAAGGAAGGACACAAAGGTTGGGTCAAATCGAATACAATAAAAAATAAAATCTAATAAAACCAAGGTCTGAACTCCAAAGCAATTCAATTATCCCAGAAGAAACACGTGGTAATTAACATGAGGCTTGTTTGTGTGTAAAATCATATGGTTAGAAGGCAGTCTCTGTCTGATACATTGTTGTAGATGGTCTTTGGACCTGTTTGTTCTGGAACGAGAAGAGCTGTTTGCTGATGATTTGTGCTGGTGGGGACACAGAGCTGGGAAAAGGACCATGTGGCCTGGAGGGTAAAAGAGTTTATTTATGGTAGGCCTTATGGCAGTCAGCTAGCCAGCGCACATGCTCATTCCATTACCTCGACTGCTGCTGCTGCTACATCAGACGCTTGTGATGTAATTCAATGGAATTTCAATAATGAGGTGCAGAGTTATCTCACGCATGGCACATCATAACTTTTTCCTTTAATCATTTCATTTCCTATAACCTTCTCATAACTACATGTACAGTGTACATGTAAATATTTTATATCCAGGTATCCATTTTAAAATATAATTCTTGGTGTGCAGCATATCCAGAAAAATTATGCTTCTGAAATGTTCTTGAACTTCTTGTGTAGTAAAATGGGATATTGGTAAGTTATTGGGATACAAAATTGTGTTATTTAGGGCCTTTATTTCATACATTTCTTTCATATAACTCATATATTAAAAAAGCACAATCACAAATAAATGTATGCAGGGCAAGTGACTCTAGCATATGTTTTATCAACAAGCTCAAATGACATAATTTCCTCATTAAAGTGAAATCTTGGTCTGGTAAATACAACTCCCTGATAGCTAAACTCAATTAAAAAATCTCTGCTTAGGCAGCAAAATTGTTTGGCAAGCCACTGATCTGCATGTTGCCACTCTCATATTCACTATGTTGACTGTATCAGCTTCAATGTTTCCAAGTATTTCTAAATACACATACATGTATTACCAGTTTAATTTAAACGGTTTATGAACTTTAAATATGATGGGTGATTGTCCCCATTTAAGTCATGATTGTACCTACAGTGTAATATGCACCAATGTACAGTACATACATTGTAATATGACTACGGCTTGTTCCTACTCTTGATCTACAATCAAATGCACTGGAGTAGTAGAAGTCTCCCTCTCTCTGGATATAAATGTAGGCCCAGTAACAGAGAAGCATGTCAGTAAAAGGTCACATGAGTTGAAAGTTGAGCTGGGCAGATTAAGCCCTCTCCCAGACTTACACTTTGGTTACATGTACCCAGTACATGTACATGTATTAGGCTCTATGGCTTCCCATGCTGTGTACAGTATTGCAAATCACACACATTTATGTAAATGTTTTAGTACATTTTAGTTCAATCAATGCTTGAATAAATCATGTTGGTTATTGAAATCTAAGCTACATTGTAAAACTACTGAAGTAATCTTAAAATTTTTTTTTTTTTTTTTTTTTTCCGATCATTTTTATTGATAGGCGATCGGAAATTATTATCCGATCAACCCTGATCGGCTCAAGATCAGCCCCTGAATCGATCATTTGTTACAGGCCTAATAAAGTCTAGCTTTTTAATAAATAAAGAAAAAAACAGATAACATTAAACTTTATGGGAAATGGAATTGAAATTATATCTTTTTTATTTGAGCAAGAAAATCTCCCATAAAAAAATACTTACAAAGGAGATGACTGCTGCTAGAAGCAGGATCTTGACAAGGAGGTCATCGAACTGTTCCAGTACCAACTGCCACAGAGGCTTGCCTGGAATGTTACAAAAATACAAAAGTGCATTGACCTTACCATTTCCTCCAATCAAGGTGAATGTTTAGTTTATTTAATATTTAAGATTAGCAATACTGCAACATGTATTACATCATTTTGTAATTCATAGATTGTCAAAGTGTAAATTGTTTACTTGTTCAAATAAACCTACAATATGAGAAACATTAAGGCTTGACGTGTGCAATTATGACTGGTTCTCCATAATCCTCAATGACCATACGTTTCTAAAATCAATTTAATCACACTTACATGTACATGTATATCAGACATCTCTGACAATCTCATCAATATCAAAGTTGTAGTGGTGCTTATTTTACATGACTGCTAAGAAAGCATAAATATTGGAGCCCAGACTGTATACATACTGTATACATACTGTAGCAATAACAATTTTTTTTCTCCAACAAAAGCAGTATAAAATAATGGGTGAAGTGAAGTGTTTGAATTTTCACCATGTTCATGAAAACCTTTTTGAGATTTTGCAAGAGTGATGCATTTTTTTTCTTTCTTTCTTCTTTTTGGAGGATAATAAGAAGCAATTTAAAAAAATCTTACCTTCTTCTGCAGGCAACTCTGAAAATTAGACATGGATAAAAGAGAGAAAAGAAAAAAATATTAACATTGACAAGATTTTACCAAATCAGAGCAAAAGGAAATCTAGATCAGATTCATCATTTCTTGACATTTAAACATGAAAGGAAGAGTCATGATCTATTTTTCTTCAGTCATGCATATTGACCTTCAATAGAACAAGATAAAAAGCTAAAGCAGTCCTTCTTTTCATACATGAAAACAACGTAAAAGTACAAAATCTTATTGACAAAATCTTACACGCTCTTCTTGGCACATGGCCAAGAAACAAATACCAATGTCATCAAATGACATACTTCCTTGCCAGTGTTTCCATGCACTGTTTCATTCTTGGTTAAATCAGGCCGTTTATCAGGGAGTTTGATTTGTTCTTCAGAGATTCATTTATCTAATTATTTATAATCCTTGTTTAGTGCTGGCATAGTCTACTCTACTGTACATTGATCCAACATGCTTGTTGTTTTCTTTCATTAAATATTTATTATCATATGCTCTCGGAAAATGACAGATTGTAGGACATCTGCAAAAATAACTATTTTGCAGACTCATGTGGGTAAACATGTGCGAAAATGATTTTTTTTTTTTTTTTTTTTTTTTTTTTTTTTTTACTTTCTATTTGTACTACACAGCTCAACTACACACTTATCATTTTGTTTATCAACTTGTCAAATACTCGCATAGACTATATAGTATTTATGTAAATTGCCACATTAAGAAAATTATAAATATCACTAGGTCTAGACCTACACAAGGAGTCCCAAATCAAGCGATGTTTCCTTTTTTTTAAATAATTTTTTTTTATTGACTACCAGTTTAAACCAAATCAAATTCTCTTTGGCTTTGGCTTTGCCTTTGGCTTTGGTCTTCCAATTTACTTAAAACTTGTCTCGAGCCAAATTTTATTTTTGTTGGTTTATCACTGGTGCACTTAACAAGATTGTAACTAAATGCAAAGATATGGTGACATTTAAACTTGTCTTTTGATTTTGTAGACTTAGTCTCGGTGTTCAACGTCGTACACATGTTTTTTTTTAACATTAGCCTACACAAGACAAAGAAAAGACTTCACTAGAGTCTAGACCTATCTAATAATTACACAGGGAAAAAAATACTCTAAATATTTCGGGGGCTACTTTTCAAGCTTGCTTGCATGAAAATAACACTCCTTACTTTGTTTTGCATTGAGCTCTATGCAAATTTTGGGGGCTCTTTTGGGCATTTCGGGGGCTAATTCGCCCCGAGCCCCAGTGTATTTTTTTCACTGTAATTACATCCTAGACTCTATGCCTAGGCCTATGCTAATTCTGATCTGTGCTCTGTTGTGCATAGACAGATAGACAAGATAGAAGATCAGACACCCTTTAATACTCCAGGGCCCAGGCATGGCATAGTGCCATGCATATACCGGTACATGACCATGCAATTTGATTATCACACAACTTGCAACTGACTGCATCGCTGCATCACAGTCGACCTACCATTGTATCCGTATTTAGCAATACGCTGTGTGACTACATGGGGGGACAGGCCAATTCCTTCCTTCACATCAAAATGCTGAAGGACCTCCTCCCGTGTCCGTGTATGCGCTAGATCCATAATGTACGTCCTTGACAACCTTCAATGGATTTAGATGAACTCAGTGCAATGTAAAAAAAAATCCCAAATCTAGACTGCAAACGGAAAAACTTTCCTTCTCGAAAACACGAGAAACATGCACGTGTAACCTTCCTTCAATGTCGGCTGAACACTCGGGCCGTGCACACCAGACGATCCGCTTCCACGCAGTAACTGAACGGTTCGCTTCAGTTTCAAAAAGCAGGATATTCCACCGGGTCAAGGTTAAATTATTCTATAAATTATTTGAAAATAGACTAAGGGGTGCACGAATATCACGTTAAAATAAAAATCCTCTCCTCGGGCATACGACTCAGGTTTATAACAAGTCGCTGTGAATGCACAACGCTACCACATCGTCCGACGGCAATTCGTGGAGATAGATCGGGAAGCTTTCGGCGGAGACGAAAAGTCCGCGTGTGGTGTGTAGTATAGTACGTGTACGTACGTACGGAGAAAACGTACAGCGAGCCAGCGCAGCGTAGGTTGTTGCATAGTCGAGTGCAGATAAATGTGGACCTTTTTGATTGGTCGAAATCACCTTTTACGGGCTGTGCCCAATCAGATCGTTCGTTAAAGATGTGCCGATTGACGTCAATACAGATTCTTGACGTGTATCTTTAAAGTTCGAAACTATTTCGTCATTAGGAAACATGTAATTCTCGGTTGGAAAGCTTTGTCCTTAGCGCAGTGCAAAACAAAGTTTGTAGTTTAATTATCAGTCAAGATATTCATGTGCATTCATTTTACTATTTTTAGACACGATATCTTTATTATTCTTACTTGCTAGGCTAGCAGGGGCGGCGATCCCGGGGGGGGGGGGGGGGGACGGGCGGGGGACACGTCCCCCAGGCCTTAAATTTCAATATTTTTAGGGTAAGGCCACTTTTCTGTAGGGCACATTCCTAAATTAAACCACAAATAGTAAGAATTGGAAAGGGCACAAAAAATCTCCAAGGCCAATGAGAGGGGCATTGAGTCCAATCAAAAGAGCATTCTATATAGGCCATGGCCTTGGTGGCCTTGGATTAATTTAAGACCTGCCCCCCTCAATTTGTTTAGGGGGAATCGTCCCCCCCCCCCCCAGAAAATTTGAAAAAGTGCCCCAAAAATGTATAGCAAATACTAACTAAAGACTGCAACACACTTTAAGGCTCTGGAGGGCCCAAGAGTGCAGCGTTTAGACTAATAGAAATGCAATGCAAATGCTAAGTAATTTATTTTTTTAATACAACAAAGCTTCAAAAGCATGTGAGGGGGCAGTCAATTCCGTCATCTTCGTCCCCCGGGGGGGGGGGGTACCAACATAATTATTTAGACATACAGGGGGTGCCACTCTTGATGGGTCAATTTTTCACATAAAATCCACAGGGTCCCATTTTTAACAAAATTTTGCCTAAACATGGGTACGGTTTTTCAAATTTTGAAAATTGTAAAAAAAAAAATGGTCTTTACTTCGAGAAAAATCTCCCTAAATGACCTCTAAAAATGGGTGGGGTTTCGAATGGGTAGGTGTTTTGAGGCTTGTACCCCCCCCCCCCCCCATTCATGAAAAGAAATCGCCGCCACTGCTTGCTAGGATATAAATCTTTCGAATATCTGCATCTTTACAGACCAGAAATTCATCAATTCATCATGTTTCTAGCAAATATTCTTTGGATAGGTTAAACAGAGTGAGAAATGCTCAAGATATGTTGAGAGCTTTGATATATCATATTTGAAAATTGCCAGGGGGAGGATCAGGGGAGATCCATGCCATATATTTGATACCTTTCTTGAGCACAACAATAATGATATACAATTTTACCTTATCATTATGTTAATTTGTACAAACTGTCAGAAACAAAATAAGATAATAATGGTTTTAGAATGGAAACTTAACAATGATTTATGATATCAGTCTTTAGGCAATTATATCGCAATAACTGAAATATTTTATTTAAAAATATCAAAACAAATTGTGTGAATAATGAAAGATTTTGATATGGGGCTTTGAACTTTACACCTGTTCAAAATATAATAAAAGTTATTATTTTGACATGAGAAGAAAAACCACTTTCGAAAAACAACCTTCACATAATAATGTTATATAGTGACAAAATCAATATGATAGTAAGACGAATTCTCTCTCTCGATTGGCAAAGGACGGGGGGGGGGGGGGGTTAAATATGTAAAAAAAAAAAAAAAAAATTAAAAAAAAGTTCAGCTATAATAAATTATAAAGGCAGATCTTGCGATATCAAGTCTGTGAAAGGAATGGGTAAGTCAGACAGTGAGCAGACAACTTTATTTTACAGTGTACTGAAGGAATGCCTGACTGACATTAAAAAGGAGGAACATGGGTCGGCTGTGCCCCAACCAGGGGCGGATCCAGCCGGCGGCAGGGGAGGGGCCCAATTCTTGAGAAAATATTTAACGGTGAAACAGCCAGCCGGTGAATAATTTTGCGCCCCAAAAATTGAAGATCACAGCCTCCCCCCCCCCCCCCCCTTGAGCACCAGAAGAGGAGGCCATCTTCAAATAAAGGTAAAATTAACATGTTTTTACCTGTTTTTTCCCCCAGGGGACGGGGGTTCGGGCCACCCGGGCCCCCTCCCTGGATCCGCCACTGGCCCCCACTCCCATTAACAAAAAGGGGGCCGACAGTTGACTAATCATGCAAGTTCATATAGTTTATTGCGACAAGTAGCATATTTTTACGATTGGGGAATATTTCGGCTGCCGCACCGATGAGAAAGTAGCCCCTTGAATTTCATATCATTTGGCTTTGTACAGAATGATTTGATACACTATGTCGACCTAAATTTTGGACACTTGTTAGCATTATTTTTTATTCAGTATTATTATCATATCCATTATCTAGGTTATATTATATTTGATACCACGCATGCAAAAGACAAATATCCATCTGTGTTTTTTTAATTGAATTTGATAGATATTTTATATAATCTATATAATACTTACTCAAAACAATATTTGTTATCCTTAAGCCCTATATTGGTAACATTCTAATGGCTGAATATGAAAATTGATTGGCGTATATCCTAAATTAAAGAAAACTAACCCCGGCCATATATATTGGCGAATTGTCAAGATTGAAATATAGGGAATATTAGACTACCGCGTATTCCTGCTAATTATCAACACGCAAGGTGCTACTGATTACTAACCGTTATAAAACTTGTCGGACGTGATCATGAATTAGATCTTATCTGCAGAGGAATGAGCAGTGGTGTTGCACGCGTTCGAGTGCAACCATCATGAGTGGCAATGGAGGGGGGGGGGGGTGGGGGGGGGGGGAGACACGAGTCACCCCGACAATGAAATTTGAATTATACAAGGCCATATTATGGATACAATTTTGTAAGGGGTCTTCTTTTCCCATCCCCATCTCCGTCTCAATTCCTCTCGTTTGCCTATTTTTCTTTCTTCTTTTTGTTCATCATTCGACAGGGGTTATGCCCCCTTGGTCCCTGGATCAGCCCATAAATATGTCTAGGTCCCTCCATAAAACAAAGCACTTTACACAGTGCAAAGTAAGTACACGAATATTGTATTTGCTTTGTCATGTGCACGTGTCATTGCATTAGAATAGATCTTGTGCAACCGATTGACGTCATTCCATATGCATGAATATGCAAATAACTGATACAATTCGAGGAAAACGATAGCCTTTGAATAATTACATTGAAGTATTTCGGTTCATGTTATTAAATGGCGATTTCCTGGTGCATTAGTGAGGAGACTAGATGTTAAGATGTTATCCATTTATTATTAATTTGTTCTTTGTTATTTTATACCATTTTCGGGGGGGGGTGGAAGAGGGGGTGGAAGAGCAAAGAAACGGTGGAACATCTATCGACAGTGTCCAAGATATCCAGATGACCATTGGAAACAAAAAACTGCAGGGATGAGATGTTTTCTTCTCTTTCTCTCTCTCTCTCTCTCTCTCCCTCTCTCTTAAAGGACTTTAATAAAACTCACGATAAATGAATTTGGTATTTTTTTCGGAATGCTAAGATTCAAAAGTATTTACAATATAATACAAAAAAACGGATGAAGAAACTTTATATTGACCCATAATTTCTGAAATATAATATATTTTCCCCTTATATATCCTAAAATATTATTCTTGTTCGTGTTATTGTTCTTCTGGTTCTTCTTCTTCTTTCTCTTCTTGTTCGTATTCTTGCTCTTCTTTATTTTTGTTCCTGTTTTTCCTCCTCTTGTTCTTGTTCTTCCTCTCGTCCTCCTCCTTTTTCCCCCTACAGATAAGCCACTGCGGTCTAATCTCCCTCCAAATATCTAATAGATTCTACCATTGATATCGATTTATTTTGGTATCATCGGCAAAACTGACGTGTTATGAATATTTTCAATCCCGGTATGTGCAATTATATACCTCACTTAAGAAATCCAGCCATCTGATTGGTCGAATTGCATTCATAAACTTCAACTGTTCCTGTAAAATTCTCGGTAACCATGCATAAAACATTTCAATATTTTTAATAACCATGGTTATTAAAAAAAGTTGGTCAGCGTCCATGGTTACCCCATAGGTTTACATGTTAAAAAATGGTTTGAGCGATGGAGGATGCCGTATGTGTGCGAAGGATTGGTCGGTAATTTCAATACAATTGAATCTCGATCGATCTTACCGACAATTTTATCTTGCATTGTTGACATGAAGACGAAAATAAACTTCCAAAAACAAAAAAACAACATCTGCCGATAGATCTTGATCTAAGTTCGTGCCAATATGCATTGCAAAAGTAAAAGAAGAGTCCGTATATGGAGCTTTTGCGAAGCATTCATCACACGCGAAGCCGGTTTCAATCCATTTTAATGTATATATTGGAGAAAACTGCCAAGCATGTTAACGGCGGGCCATAGCCGAGTGGTCTAAGCGTTGGTTTTCGGTACACCTTTTGTTTGTAAGCAAGAGTTCGAATCCCGTCTTCGACAAAAATGATAAATATTTTTAATTTTTCATTTTTTAGTCTATTTTTTTTCGGCATATAAAAGTATTAATGACTGCTTTAATATTCGAGAAATAGTTGTTTTCATACGCTCTCGGGAAGGTTAGAATTGGGCTATTCCCCTCGGCAAGCCTCGGGGAATAGCACAATTCTAACCTTCCCTTGAGCGTAATAAAACAACTATTTCTCTCAAAGCAGTCATTAATACTATACTGTTTCATAACTTGCATTCCCCGAACCACGCTCGAGATTCAATTTGGCCGTTTCGATAATTGTGCAATGGCGCCCTCTGTAGAGAATCTACTTCACAGTTTAATCAACCAGATGAAAATTAGAAAAACGGCGAGGTACCATCCGCCCCGCCCCGCCCCCACGCGCTACATTTTCCTTATTTTTTTCTTCTTGTCTCCTTTTGAAATGAATGTCATATAATTTTTGCTTTGCAATCAAACTTTTCCATTTTCATTAGTGTTTCCCCCTCATCACACTGGCTTTCATTGTAATATGGGGACTGTTATATCTCTATTTATTCTATCTCAAGTTGTTACCCTTCCCAATTATTTTTACCAATTACAGACTTTTAAGGGAACTATTTTCCTCAACTTTTGGCTCAACATTTTTAAGAGGCGCTCATCCATATCCCCGTTAATTACTCTTCTTCTTTATCACCCAATCTTTCTCTAGCTTACTGTTTCAACTCTCTCACTTACCCCATCCTATGAATCTATCTTTCAAATGATTTATCATTTCCTCTCACACACCCTCTTTCTTCCATTCCCTCTATCCCGTTCTTCCCGCCGTTTTTCTTTTTTCCTCTTTATTTCTCTACTTATCTCTCTTCCTCTTTCTCCCTTTCTCCCTTTCTCCCTATCCCTATCCCTCTCTTTATCTCAGTCCCTGACTCTCTACATCCCTTTATTTACACTACCTCTCACTATCTTATTCTTTACACTTTCTTTCATTAGGTTCATAAATCATTCACTTCCACTACATAAAATGTAACATACATTTGTATACACAAACAAATAAAAATAAAGAATGCCAATTTGACTACCATTTTGAAGATACAAATATATTCATGCCATACAAACTAATGCAAACAATTTGTAGCACAATAAAAAACAATTCCTAGCAATCACTGAATTATCATACCGCACTAGGTTGATTTTCCATGATAATAATTTACATATATTGTCATTTCTTGTTGCATCCAATAACATTACAACGATCATAAAACGTCAGCTTTTCCACTCTTTTACACACTTATACAAGTCTTACTTGTGACAAAGAATGCATATCTATAGAGTTCTTGATCATATGCCTCCTCATCAGCCAAATGCTTGCTTAAAGAGAGCTTGTAAAAATATTCAACTTCGGATGTAGGTTTGTCTTATATATCCTCTTTCACATACACTACATAACAACATGAGCATTGTCATGCATCAGCTACATGCTTGCACAATAAGTGTGCACCATCTCCACTCACTGGAGTAAACATATCCCATCCTCTTCTTTACAAGAAAGACATAAAGAAGAGTTAGTGACATGGACTTCTAGCAACCCCTTAATTGCCTATCTATCTTGGGTATGGACTGGCAATGGAGTAGCAATGCTCAAATAGGACGTAGGACCAATCAGAGGTAGGACCAATAAGATGATTGACCGATGGAACCAATCAGACAGAGGATTTATCAAAGTCAGAACAAATCATATGTTTGACCAATAGAATGATTGACCAGTGGGACGTTGGACCAATCAGATGGAGGATTCATCAAAGATAGAACAAATCGTCGACCAGGTGGCAGAAGGGGTTAGTGCGCAAGCAACTCGAAAATTACTTTTCGAATTATTCACATTTAAAGATTTATTTTATATTTAAACTGCTTTCCGTCCCGAAAATTGGTTTAAAACATAAGAGGCTAATAGAAATGTTATAGTAGAACGCAGCCACAATTTTTTGCGGAAATAAGTCAGTTTAATAAAACCATTGGCATTAGGATGATTGACCAATGGGACATTGGACCGACCAGATGGAGGATTTATCAAAGGTAGAACAAATCATATGTCGGAAAAATCAGATATTTGACCAGTAGGAGGTAATGTTTGACCAATAGGATGTGGGTTGAAATGTACCTAGAACCAATAGAACATATGACCAATAGGTTCAATCAGGACGTAAATGATCTAGGACCAATTGAATGAAGGACAAATAAGACAAACTGAACCTAGGATCAAATGGATGAAGATATTGGACCAAGACGATCTAGGCCCAATTAGGACATTGGATGAATCAGAAATCGAACTTGGGACCAATTGGATACTGGATTATAGAGACACACCGACCCATGAAGGTGGGCTCACATTGACCATACAGTAAAAAGAGTTCATTGAGGCATTCCTTCTGGTATCAACTGGCTGCAATCTGACCCTGATGTTGCTCCCCTTTCTCCAACTCCTTGACCACACTCTGATGCAGCATCCTGTGCCTGATACTGTTATCAACAGGGAGGGGTGGTCTATTCTCTGGGATGCCAAGCAGGTTCCTGAGGGCAACGCGAGCAGCTTCATCTTCAGCTATCGTGACGGATTCACCAGGTGCTGGAGAAGAGAGGATAAAATAACCAAAGATTCAGTTTCAATCAGCTTGGGTAATTTCTGTTTATGGTCTGTTATTAATTTCAGTCAGGATTTTGACTAGTCAGGGGGTTTAAGTTACAATTATTTTATTAGGTTAGATTAAGTTCATTTCAGTTAAAAGCAGGCTGCTCTGAAGTGTGATTACGTTAAGATTTCAATTGAGATCAGCCTAAATTTCAGTCTCAGTTTAATTTTAAAATTTATGATTCCAATTCAGTTTACTTTGGCCGAGTCTATTTTGCTAATTTTACTTTATCTTTCTGTGATTCATTTCAATTTAACAGACCCTCAATTCAGATCTATGACTTATTTGGAGATGATCATTTCCATACAAACATACGATATACGCCATTTTATAATTTCATTCATTTTAATGAAAAACAAAAAAATTAATCCACACAGTTCACTTTAATCTCAATCCTTACAACTCATAAAACAACATGCAATACATCAATATTATTTTTCACGACAATAAATGCAAACATTGACTATAGAACATAATACATACCCCAACCAAGGAGTTTCTTATCACTGTAGATTCCAACCATAAAGAGAGGTGTGAATGTGTTCTTTCCAGCTTCACGTAACAATCTAGAAAGAAAGAAAGAACATAAGGAAATTTTAAAAAAGATACATAAAAAAATTTAAAAGTATTGAAACGGGACTGCACTACTTGTAGCTACTTGCCCCCTATATGTAGCAAACAATGCCTAAGCGGTGGCCATTGGTCCCCCATGGTCCCCTTTTTCTTATTTTAATTGAGAGCTGATTTGATGAAATAACTAACTGTCAGTGACCACGCAGAGACGTTTAATCCCTCCTGGCCAAACTAGTGCAGATAGGCTTTAAGCATGGGTAGATTCTGGGATTCTATAAGGGAGGGGGTACCATTGTAAAATGTCTGTGAAAAAGAAAAAAAATAAATAACAAAAAAGGTGCCTATATGGTGGTGTCACAAATTTCAAGGGGGCAATTAAAAAAGAAGAATATGGTAAAGGTATGCCAGATTATGTTTTAAAAGGGGAGGGACACATGGATCAGTTGTACCCACCCACATCAACCACCAGTCTTGGTAAAGTTACAAGCACTGTACACAGAAAGATGTATATGGAACTACAGGACACGTGTGCGATATCTATCAGGTCCACATAGATATAATAATTTACCAAATATATAAATTAGTAGGCGGTTTTTCAGCAAAATCTGTATCATCACATATTAGTCAAAACACACATGATTGGTAATAAAAGCTTCCACTTCATTTTTTGAGAGGGGGGGGGGGGGGCATTTCCAAAACTGGTCTTTACCTTTAAGGCTTCAATATTACATCATATCACAGACCATGATAACACGCAGGGCCGGGCATCTCAGATTTAACATTGTTAAATGATGCCTTTAAGGGTAAATTGTATTAAACGACAAGACCAGACCTTGCTTCTGGTTCCTCCCTCTGTTGATCGGCTAAGACCTGGACTAGGAGGCTCATGGGGTTGTCTATGAGCCAGACATCACATAGGTCCTTGTCCATCAGTTGAGGAATGATGAAATCACGAACAAACAGACCAGCCCTGTCCATGCCCTGAAAATGTCATAACAACATAACATATTTGATGAAATAAAAGTTATACTGTTTGATATGGAAATGTGTTAATAATGTCTGCCTTATATCTATTATTTAGCATTTGTCCCTCTCCCTGTTGCAGCATATGGTATATTTGAATGGTTCATTTATGTTTACCATTATCAGTTAAACATGAATTCAATAATTTGTATTATACAACACCTACGTGGATCCTTGTCATTTGATTGGACGATTGTTGGTCACATGATATTCAATAGATGGTATATTGCACGGTCGTGCATTTTTGGTTATATGCGCTGTGCATTTTTGGTTATATGCAGACTGCGTACCTCTCTGCTGCATGTGCGCGTATCCCTGCGTGTATCTGACGCGAAGGCAATCTGCATGTAATCGAGAAGGCTTGACTCGAACTTTAATTTATCTTTATAAGGAGTAAAGCATAATTTGCTGATTAACGTTCTATTAGGTCTTCTTCGATGTTGTATAAAACAAATAATGAATGTTTTTCATTCGTTTAATAGTGCAAATATTTTCATTCGTTGAAAGATTAACGTTAATTCTATTCAACTCATGAACATATTCGCACTATTGAACTCATAACCATTCATTATTTGTATATTATCATCTTTATTATTAATATAATTGTTATTGTGGTTATTGTGGTTGTTATTATTACTATTACTACTGCTACTACTACTACTACCATCATCATCATAATCAAAATTACACCTTTATCATCATTATTGCACTATTATTTGTATTACCATATTTACCAGGTAACACAAATTATGTTTAATGACTACTATATCTTTGTTTTCAGAAATTGTTTCTTCTGTCCATTCTCTTACCTGATCTTCAAGCAAGCCACCGACGATTGCCATGAGGGTAGATTCCATCACTTCTGACGGAATCGGAAAATCCTGCAATGAAAATTGTAAATGTATACGTAACATCAAACTTCACCCTTTGATATAATTATAACTTATTTTAACAGCATATCCAGATTCAGGGCATAAAGAATTTAAAGAACACAAAACAAATGACAAAACAAATGACAAAACAAATGCCCCCCCCCCCCCCTAAAAAAAATAATAAATAAATAAAAATAAATAAATAAAAAAAAAAAATTCTATAATCAATCTTCAACTTAAAAATATGAACTCTTTAATTTATTTTGCCCTCTGAGCTTTCTTTCCATGTTAAATAACACATTTTCAACAATAAATATTAACATCATATTAATCAAACTATGTAAAACAAATCAAATAACCTTGGTAACTTTTTGAATGGCTGATAATGTTGTTATATATTTTTCTAAAAAGGAGGCAATAGAGCTTGTACAATATATACATGAACAATGTACAGTACATGTACATGTGAATGTTACCAATAAATGTAACATAATGTCAAATTATGCAATTCAAACGCTAAGAATAAAGGAAAATAAAATATAGGATAACTTTTGAAATATCATTTACTTCTAACTCATTGATGAGACATGGACAATGGATTACACACAGAAGAAAAAATTTGTTCCATGTATCTTGCTATCTATAAAATATGTTTAAAAAAAAGGGGGGGGGGGGGCTTAAAAACAGAGGCTTTGAAATAAAATGCAAGGTGTGATACCTAATTACCTACATATACTATTTCAATGTTTTTCTACAAAAGTGAATACTATTTTTTGTTTATGAATTAAAAAAACTAACACATATTTGCAAGGGATTTGGCATATACAGGAGTTAAATCTATGTTTTCTCTCTCATAATAAGCATATTGTATATAAGTATTGTACAATCATTTTGTATGAATGAGTTTCTTCTACCAATGGCAAATTATAATTATTGGTGATCAGTCCCCTCTAATGTCTTGCTTTAATCTAAATCTCCAGAGGTTAATATAAAAGAGACCAACATTTAAATTTTTTGATAAAATATGAATTGAATGTATTTTGAAGAAAAAAATTGCAATATATGCCAAGACAAAGCAAGAAAAAAAAATGGAATGTTACCATTTACAAGAAATCCTAAAGTCTGATTGCAAATATTGCAATATGTGCCAAGGCACAGCAAGAAATATTGAAATGCAACCTTTTATAAGAAATCCCAAAGTCTGATTGCAGCAGTAAATAAATAAGAATGAAAGTAGCCTACAGACACATCTATGTGTGAAACACAAACCGTTCAAACTACCGTTAAAAAATGTTTAATTTGACTTACAGCACATAATACAAGATCACGTAAGCCGAGGTTAGAGGCAACATACGACAGCACTTTTCCGTTCATTAGATACTGATTGATCGCCCTGATAAAAAACAAAGGAAAATACAAAGAATTAGAGAAGAAAACAAGAACAATCAGAGGGTGAAGGATGAAAATTAATATCCACATGGCAAGGTAATGTATTCGTGCTTCTAGCAAAACGGGGAATCAAAATTCCTGGTGTTAAAGCGAAAAGGAAAAGCAGGACTAGGGCTCGGGGTATTTGGTGTCGTGAAAGACAAACTGTTGTTCTTTTTTTGCGAGGGAGGAGGGGATTCTATCGCATGGCTGCGTCGACTGTGATAGTCACCGGGGAGTTAGGTGGCACTCTGCTTACGACGCTTGTGGGTATTCGCTTGTCGCTGATTGGGGGTACAATGATGGAAAGGGCTACAGAGGGAGAAGATGATGCCGAGCTTATGCCACGCTCGCCAGGTAACATGTTGTTAGGGTCGACGAATGTTTATATAACCTCCGGTCACCTGGGAATAATCACGAATATCACTTTTGCCTTTCAGCGATCCCAAAGTATGTTCTTCCATATTTCAGGGTGCAACGGATACTTTTGTCTGGTGGATTGTTTATTTTGTAAAGATTTAATTTGTATTGAAATATTAAGAGTGCGGGTATTCAATCACCCTTAGGATATACAGTTGTTACCTATTTATCACTTTCTTGTATGTACATGTACATGGAGTGAGGGGAAAAACACACAAATATTGATTTGTTTTGGTAATAAATTGTTTTATGTTGTTTTATTGTCATTTTTTAGTAGTGCTAGTAGGCACGTTCCTCACATTACACTTTCAATGGTTCATGTAAAGTCAGGTTAAGAAATCAGTGCAATACAGAGGAATATATGTCAAAGAAACGTCTTCTTAATTAGACAAATTGCTATTCCCCAAATAGCAGCAAATTTCAAATATGATTTGAATATGATTTTAAATGGTTTTTTATAATCAAATGTAACATACAACTATTATATTTTCATATGTTACATTTAATTACAAATATGCAATTAAATGGTAAATAAACATTATTTACATATAACTATTATATTGCTACGGTACCTATCAAGCATTATTTACAATTCAAAGCTTGACAAATACTAAATAATAATAATAATAATAATAATAATAATAATAATAGTCTAATAGTCCACTCCAAATTTTATTAAACCGAAACGGAAATTCTTTTTGCCCAATTGATCGTGAGCCCGGCAGCCACTGAGCAGCACCAGATCGACGTTGCTCTATCCCTTAATGTTGAACGCCAAACAAGGTAGCAACAACTCCCATCCTTTAACGTCTTTTGGTATGACGCGGCCGGGGTTCGAACCCACGACCTCCCGGTTGTGAGGCGGACGCTCTACTGACTGAGCCAACACTCCGGTATAATAAACAAAAGATGTCTGACTAGAGTAATTAAAATGTGATAAAGGGGAAACATTTTTAAGAACAGTGCTCCCCTCTTAGTCCTAATTCCTCCTCCATTTAAAAAATAATCATAAAATAACATTATTCCATTTTATTTAAATAAATTTATGTCATACTTAGTATTATTTGAAAATTTGATTTTGAAGTGTATACAACTTTAGTTTTCACCATCTCAGCACAACCCACACCACCATCTCTACCTTCTTTAATAACGTTACCATCATCATCAATCATCATAATTGTCACCATCTTCATAATAATAACCATCAAAACTAATAACAATGAAAAACAACATCACATTATCATCAGACGCTTAAGATCTTCCGATTCCCAATTGCTTGTTGTTCCAAAAACTAAGAAATCATGGGGGGATCGGTCATTTGCACACGCTGGACCTCAACTATGGAATCAATTGCCACAACATATTTGTTATATTTCAAGTGTAGATTGCTTTAAACATGCCCTCAAAACTCATTTGTTCAAAGCGGCTTTCCAGTAGATTTAGTTTTACTTTCACATTGTCCTTGTTCATTTTTGTGTGTATTTTAGTGTACTTATAGTTTTTCTTCTCCATGCGCCTCGAACACATTAGTCATGTGGAGATGGCGCATTACAAATACTCTGTATTATTATTATTATTATCATCATCAACCTTACACTAAACCTTAGCTTTATTCTTTTCTTTATCTACCTCCTACTCATCCTCCTACTCATCCTCCTTCTCATCCTCCTTCTCATCATCACCTTTACTTTTATCACCACCATCACTATCATTTACAACAATGATAAAAACACCAACGGCAACAACACCAAAGCCATTATCATTATCTTCATTGACTGTCTGTACCATTCCTATCATAACTCCAAATTTGCAGTTAAAAAAAAACCATTACAAGATGATGAACCAGATCCTCATCAAATGATTGGTTAAGAGCGTGCAGGTGACCAGGCATTTATTTTGCCTAACACATAATTTTACTAATGACCGGTCATTGGTAAATACTTTATGCCGGTCATTTATAGTAAAATCATGTTATAATACATCATTTTATAAAACAAATAAAACATCATCTTGTAAAACAAAAAATATATATCCTTTTGTTCGGGCATTATTAAGAATTACCCACACAAGGTACCTTCAAAACAGACCAAACAGACTGTTCAAAAGGTACCTTGTGTGGGTAATTCTTACTAATGCCCGAACTGTTGTGTATTATTTGTATAATGTCAACAATCTGCTCTTACAATGGTTGCATTGGTACTAAGAGAAAATTTAAATAATGTGACTCACCTGTAACCCTCTTCAGGTACTTTAGGGAGGGCATGCCTGAGGTATCCTGCTATATAATCTGATGAAAACTGATATCCTGCAGTAACAGAACCAAGGAGACAAATCTCTTTAATATGATTTAAGAAGTAAACAAGGGTGCTGTAGCTTCTAGTCCTATCTGAGGGGTTCGGTAATGGGGGATTAATGCCTTAGCGAAGGGCACTAGCATAATGGTTAGGAGCCAGAGCATATAACACTGAGTTCCTATGGGAAATCTTTTCATTCAGATGGTCATATCTCAGCCAATACTTAACATATTCAATTGGTTTTCGACATTTGGACGTTACATTTAAGGCTCTTTCGGAAAATGAAGAAATTTTTTTTAAATTCTAAAAATAGATTTTTATGACGGCACAGCTTCGGTACTCTACATGTATACAACCTTGGTTCATAACCTGTGACCCCAGACTCGGGGTCAGTGACCATGTTCACAGAAATCTCCAGTAGTATAACTTCTACACTATAAATAAATAAACCCAACCAAAAGAAGGTGTGTTGGCCCGAGTGTGTCATTTAGTCCAATAGGGATTCATTTACGGTTATAACAAGATTGTCTTTCCCACTGTATTTTATAACATCCAAGATTAGGTGATCGATATCATTTCACCTCCATAGTTCGTACCAAGTTTGTCTGTTATCCATACATATATGAACATGTGGTTATATAAGGTTGTCATGATTAGACTATTATTTTTCCATTAACAGCTTAGTTGGTCATCAACCCCTGTGGCTTCTGCGCATCAACTATTTTAGACCAATTAAATATTTAACCCCACAGGATATACAAGCATTTAAAAAAAAAATGGTATTAGCCCAAATGGATCGTAGGAAAACACACAATTGTAAGAACAACAAAATAATAATAATATTGATGATAATAATAATAACAAAAATATTATATAGATGCATAGATAATTAATTAAATAAGTACAGGTACATGTAAATGTAAATAAATAAATAGAAATAAACATCATGGAGGGCAGACAGATTCACAAAACTGGCACAACTGGACCAAATAAAATTTAACATTCTACACATATCCTTGTTTTTTCTATCCATGCTGCTCCCTGACTCTTCTTACAGTACATGCCTTTTTCATGACACATTCAAATTAATATATGTTTGTCAAGTGACAAACTATTGCATTCATGTTCCATGTTATTGTATGTTTGTATCGACAGTCTGAAACTAAGAATGCAGATAACACACAATAAATACTGATAGGGTGGAAAAATATAAAAGCATATCAATGCATTCGCATTGTGGTCTGAGAAATATTATTTTTTTAGCCAAATCAATGAACTAATTGAACAACACAGTTCAATAAACACAAATCGTAGCGCTTGACACTTTTTACACTTTGATAAATATAAATGAAAAGTTCAACTACTCCCATGTACACTTGAATGATTCTTTATGTTCTATCACTTGTTAATTCCCCTCAAAAAGTGTTATGTGGCTTCTCAAACTACCTTGAAATCTATATATAAATAACTAGAAACATTTTTTGCTTGAATGTTAGAAGCTACTTGCTTGTACTCTTCATTCAGTTTTAACACCTATTTGGCAAACATGATACAACAGTAAACATAACTTTAAAAACATCTCTTTCTACAAGTAGGCAATTTTTTTCTTTCTTTTTCCCCGTTTAAACCCAATTAAAAAAGAAACATTCATATATTTGAACATTCAAAATGTACAGTTGCAGTATTTCAGGCTAATTTTTAAAATAAATACCACAGAAATATAATTAAAATCTTACTCAAATAAATGACAGTTCATGCAATATTCTTTTGCCAAAATATTAGTATCAACTTTAGCTAAATATTAATGGAAATGTGTAATCCAATGAAAACAAGACCCCTAGAGTTTTATAAACAATAAAAATAGTTTTATCTTTGGAACATGATGAATAAATAATAAACTTTTAGAACACACTGTTGAAAATTTTAAATGCACATCTCAATGAGCATAACTAGTATCTCAACACATACCCACACCTAAGGCCGGAAGAAAGGAATTCTGAAGATGACTCGTTAAATGACTACAAAACTTTAGACTAACGCAAGGTGAAGTTGACATTAGATGTACATGTACGTAACAGGCTCACATCCAATCATTCATTAAATTTCAAATTGTCACTCTTTAAAACATATGTGTAGTAAACATTGATTTTCAGGCACCGGTACATGTATCGCTTAGGGAAACAAAATTATCCTTTTTTATTTACCTGCATTTACAAGTTGAGTGTTGTCATCAAGCTGAAGCTTTGCATCTTGATCTAACAGTCCCATTTCTCTTCTACTCTTCTCTTCCTTCTCTACATAGCTTTTATGTGTGAATGCCGTTCTGACGGTTTCGCTGTTGAACTCTTCCCCAAAGCGTTGACAGAAAGCATAGATCTCACTGTTATAGTCCCTGTGGAGGATGAGAAGATCAATATATTGTTGATAGCTCAATACATCATCTTCATCATCATCATCATCACCATCTCCAATATCATCATTTTACCATTGATCATCATCCCCACCAACTTTATTACCACCACTAAAACTAACATTGTCACCATCATTGACATCATCATCATCATCATCATCAGTATCAAAATCACCACAATCATCATCACCATGACTATCACTACCATCATCATCATCATTTTTATCATCAATATCATCATCATTATGATATCAACATCACCAAAATGAGAGCATCATTACCTTCTTCATCTTCACTATCATCAACACTATCCCTATCATATCAAAAGTCGGTACAGGTGAATTTTTTACATGAGCTACAAACTAGGCCTGTCGTCATCAGCTAGAGTTTGCCAAATAACCCACTGGTTTAACTATTTCAATCTCAAAATTATCAGTCAATTAGCGGGATATTTGGTTGAGAAAATGTCCTGAGGAATCTTGGTCTTGTTTCCAAAATAGCCCGCTATTTAGAAAATAGCGGGCTAATTTGCACACGTCCGAGTTGGTTGTGATGAGCATATCGGTCTGGTGTAGACACAATTTCCGGCTTCGGGATAATATCCTGAGTCTGAAAATAGCAGGTTATTTGGCAAAACTGAGCCGATGAAGAGGGCCTATTGTGAACTTACCAATTATCCTGATGTGATCTGGGCTTGGCTGGTTCTTCACCATGCTTCCTCTTGAGGTAACTCAGCTGCCCATTCAAAGCATTGAGGAACGGTCTCAACCATCGGGCATGGTGACGCACATCTGTGGATAGGATGGAAGAATGTAAATAACAATTGTCTTGAAGAATCTAAGATAAAAGATATTCAAGCTTTCATTTCTGAGGCTGATCTTTGACAGGGTATCAGTCAGCTTGACTTTTAAAAAAATTTTTTTTTTACTCCTTTTCAATCTGATTAGACAGCAGTCATGTGACTGGTAGTAGTCAGTTAGTCATGTGACTGATCCAGGTTGCCATTTAATTTTAGGAATCCATCTAGAACTAGTAAACCAAAAATTCTATGCAAAAATCCATTGAATTTTTCAAAACAAAGTTTCCTTCCTGTTATACCAATTTATTAAAGCCACACCTAGCACTGTGCACTTTAAATTTTAAATTAATATGTTCAAACTGCATAACTGTCACAGGAAAATCTAATTTTTTTGCTTGCCTTTTCTTAACTTTTCTATCTTATTTGGATAGGTGTAAATTTACAGATGAAGACAGCAACAGTGTTTATGTGGTCAACTAAAAGCATACCAATTTCTCATTATGCAAACTTGAATGGTAATAAGTAATTTAAACAAAGAAGTTTTCTTCACAAAAGTCAATATCTATGCATGGCCAGTATGGCTCAGAAGTTTTCTTATTCTAGAGCTAAACAAAATTCTGATGACTAATGGGAGGTTTGGTAAAAGTCAAGGAGTCCAACTCTAAACTCTAAGTTTCCTTAATTTTCTGATTTTATTTCAGGGTAGAAAACACAGATTTCCCCTGAAAACTCATTAGACAAAACTTCAGACTTGTCAAGATATCATGTTCGCCGTCGATGTTTGGATTTATATATCTGCCAGTGCAGTGTGTATGTCTGTGTGTTTAATATTATGAATTTCATGTTTCGTCAGCGTTCATGGCTGATTCATCAAAACGATCATACTATGTCTGAACATACAGCTCACAGTCACACTCAGTCACTCTCAGCTCTAGTATTAGGTAATCATGGTAATTATTAATGACGATGAGTATGAAAATAAAAGTTAAAACAACAACTAAAAATAGAGAGGGGAAAAAAAATTATCCTATTTTTCAGTAGCCTGCAATTTCGACATGTGATGTAAATTACATTTTGTTTCTTTAGCTTTACTGTAGCTTTAGTATCAAGTCTGCAGTGTGAATATTTCAATTTTTGTCGGACATGCTGTCATGCAACTTTGCAAGATTATTTATTAAATGCAATTTCACTTTAGCCAGATCATAAGAACTGCACAATATTAGGTGTCTGAACGATTTTTCAATTTTCAATTTGGGATCGTTTTTCACCATTTTTGTTTGATATTTGAATAAAAAATGTTATCAGAATAATACATTTCAAATTTCAAGTCTCACCGATGTTTCTATCAAAAGTTACAGCCCCTCCAACACGCTGGTATATTCATATCATTTTGGTCAAAATCGACGAAAAAGACGTCCACGCAGAGTGATGTTGTTTTGCTAAATTTAGCCAAACAGCTGTATCGCGCGATATGCAAGCGTATGCATATCGTACGCATGCTGCTAAGCCAATCCGCGACTTGCAGCTTGAGCTACGCTGTCTCCGCGACATGTGCGATTGACTAGTATGGTTGGCGTTCGTCGCACAATAAACCCGGAAGTGAATGCACGTTATAGTCAATGGCAATATCGCGGAGACATGTCTCCGCGATATTGCCATTGACTATAACGTGTATTCACTTCCGGGTTTATCGAGGGAATTGCCAACCATAATTTCAGTCACTATAACGTGTAATTGAATTTGGGGTTTCGTTCGTGCGCGGAGATGTTACGCGATGTAACCATGGTTTGGACTGAGCGGAGCGCACGCCTCCTAATTAGCTGATCCACCAAATAGCGAGAAGGGTATTTTTAAACTGTTATCAGTTGTGATCCCTGGGGGCTAGCGAAAATATAATCACATAGAATTGTTCCTTAGGACTGGGACTACTTATCGATCGGGGCGTCATATCTCAAAAGTGACAAACCTCAGAGTTAGCCAGGACACAATGTTTAAATTGCTGTTTTGACCAAGATATTTTTAGAATTTCGGGGGCTACGCCCCTTTGGAAATATTGGAATTCACCTGCTCTTTCATATGACACCTCATTCATTGATTATCACCTTCAGGATCACAACTGATAAAGGTTTGAATCTCGATTTGAAAAAAAAAATTTGACTTTTTTTGCATGGTCGCGCAATGCACGTAGGCTGCATAGGGATGCGTGTAATCTCTATGGGAAGAATTTTAGCACACAACATCGGGTGCGCGATCAGACACCCTAAGGTCAATAATCCATTCTTATTTCTAGCTTAGACTAGTCTAGTCTCTAGACTACTGCATGATTGCAACAAAATCTCTCACATTAATGATAGTTTCTAGATCTACATGGCTTTTGTACGGCTTATTCTTTTGCTGTGCCTGCTAATCTGCTATGCTGCTATCCTATGCCTATGCCGATGGCGCGGCAAATCCACCGCCGGTACACAAGCCGACCCGTCCCCGCAATCCAGGCGAGGCAAGCCCAGAATGCAGAGCATGGATGCAGTTCATGTCAAGCAAGGCAAGCAAACGTGACCACACTCAAATAACTACGGAAAATACACGGTTAACACCTCTATCTGAAATAGTTGTACAAATTTCAATTACAATTTTATTCACTCATTAAACTTTTCGATCCTACTCACGGTTTTGGACAGGTAATGAAGTTCTACTTGCTATTATTTGCAAAATTTTAGGGCACTTGCACGAAAATCGTGTGAACATGGAGGCTGCCATTTTGTATTGCTTGTTTGCGGATTTAGGTTCTTGATAGGGATTTTTTTTCTTCTTCAGTTTTCTTGAGTTATTCTTCTTCTTTTTTTCCCGCTACCTATCTTCTTCTCTCTTTACTAAAATTTCCTTTGTTTCTATCTCTCATTTGTGATTTTCTTCAGTTTCTCTTTCTTACTTAAGAAATTGATCCAGTAACGAAACTGGCCAATGACCAGTGAAGCCACCACTGCACTCAGCATTCGGACTAAGTGCCCCCCCCCCCCAGGCCCTCCCCTGAACATTTTGTTGAAGAAGAAAAAAGCTACTATAGATCTATATCACTGTCAACAAATAATATTGTCGTGCATCATCATAGCTACGGGTTGGGGCGGCACATGTCAACTCATTGGGGGAAGAAAAACAGTTTTAAATAACAAAAAAAGAAAGAAAAACCTAAAAGAAAGAAAGCAAGAAAGATAGGAAGAGAGAGAGAGAGGGAAGAGAGAGAGAGAGAGAGAGAGAGAGAGAGAGAAGAAAAAACAAGAATGAGAGATAGAAAAAAATAGTAAAGAAAGAATTAAAGAGACAAGAACAGAAAAAGAAAAAGAAAAAAGAAAGAATAACAAATACAAAAAAATAATTAACTGTTGACGAACCAATTCAACTCCGAATTTTCTTTCTCCTCCTCTCTTTCTGCCCCCACTTTTGTTGCCTTCATTGTTCAATAAAAATAATAATGATCAGCTCAGTAAACCTGTGTTGTTTTTATACAGTATTTTGTATTTGTTTCAGTACCGAATCTTGTAAATATGTGATTCTTATGTTTTGTTTTAATAAAATATACAAAGAAAAAAAAGCAATGAAAGAATGTCGCCTGCCCCTCCGGATCTCCATGTTCCAGGCAAGGATCTAAAAGAATATGGGGCGCTTGGGGTTTTTGCTTTCATTTTCAAATCATAAATAATACCTCGCTTAAATTCATGCTTGAGTATCAAAATACAAAAACAAAATAAAATCGAGATGGGGTGTCTTGAAGATTATTTGGGGGTGTTGACCCCCGGCCCGGGCCCGCGGCCCCACCCCTCCCCACCCCAGAGCTCCGTAAAGAAAGCTCAACTGAATTTCTGTTTTTACGTCGAACGGTGCTATAAATTTGGCAGCCCCCTCCTCCTCCTCCCCACCCCATATTGAAAGGATTGGGCCCCTCTCTATAAAATAATGTTGACAGTGCAATATTATTACAGAATCCCTTCAAATTGCGCTTCATTTTCTCGCATGATTATAATAATAAGGGCCTAAAGAATAATACTAAAGTATGTATAGAGTAAGTGCCACTTGAATATAACTTTTGCCCAACTCTTACCAATAACATATTCTGCTTCAAATTGCTCCGTTCTGTCATGGTGCAGATAGATTGTTTTTAATGAAGGAGTGTAAGTTGAGGAGGAAAATTATATCATAACAAACAAAACAACCATCACCCGATTTTTAAGAACTTTAAGAGCGATTTATGGATGGGGGTTACTTGGTAGCGTTTATATAATGACGAAGATATGAGGGTGATTGGGTAGCCGCCCCAAGAAAAAATGTCCCGAAGAGGGAAAAATAGCTGAACAGAATAAAATTGAGAATTGATATACAGGGGAGAAAGAAAAAAAAGAAAGAGGTCGGGTTTAATAAAACGTCAAATTTAAAGAAACGTCAAAGCTTCAGCGATTCGCACGGGAGGGGGGGGGGGGACTGAATTCAGACAATTAGGGTTAAAAGTCGAGAACGGTACAACGAGTCGTCTTCTTTCTATAATGATTTAATGATGGTCAAAGCTTCCACGCTTCGCGCGGGAGGGGGGAACTGATTTCAGACAATTTAAGGTCAAGAGTTGAGAAAGGTACATTGAATCGTCTTCTTTCTATAATTTAATGAAACGTCAGAGCTTTAGCGCTTCGCGCGGGGGGGGGGGGACTGAATTTAGACAATTAGGGTTAAAAGTCGAGAACAATACAACGAATCGTCTTCTTTCTATAATAATTTAATGAATTGTCAAAGCTTCCGCGCAAAGCGCGGGAGGAGGAAATTGAATTCAGACAAAAGTAGGGTTGAAAACGAGAACGGTACAATGAATCGTCTTCTTTCTAATATTTTATTTAATGAAACCTCAAAGCTTCGGCGCTTCATACGGGAGGGGAGAAACTGAATTTAGACAAGGATTAAGAGTCGAGAACGGTACAATGAATCGTCTGCATGCTTTCTCTAATAATTTCATTAAACGTCAAAGCTTCCGCGCTTTGCGCGCGGGGGAAAACTGAATTAAGACAATTAGAGTTAAGAGGCCAGCACGGTACAATGAATTGCTGCTTTCTCTAATAATTTATGGAGGCCTCTACACCCCCTTCCACTGAAAAAGGTCTAGCGCTGCCCCTAACTGTATAAAACGTGAATAAGACAAAGAAACCTAAATATAACAGGCAAAATCGTGTTTGTGTGAGTTAGCCACCCCGATCAATTTGTACCGTGATCTATAATGCAGTTAGGTGGCATAAGAGGAGTCTAGGCCTATAATTTAAAAAATGGACATAGCTACCGGCCGCAGGCTATACGCTGACGACAGGCGCAGCTACCATGCGCCCCCTCCATTTCCCCCGATAGACGTCAGTTAGCTAGACCTACCCCAAACTAATTTGCATCCCTTTGACCCAATTTTCATTTTTTTTTTTTTTAAATTCCCGCCTGACTTGAAATGGCTACGCCTAGCTTTTTAAAGTACCCCTATAGAGTGACACTTTTTACACACTAAAGGTGCTCCCTTTTACTTCAGATAAGTGCCCCTTTTTATTTCTATTAGGTGCCCATTCCATATTCATATAAGTGCGTCTTACATCCTCTGATAAGTGCCTCCTACACCTGTGATAATTGCCCCTATTCTTGTTTTGAAGAGCCCCTTCACCTTTTCATAAATGCCCCTTCTGACACCTCTGATAGATGCATGCTTCTTATAAAATCTCATAGGTGCCCCCTTTTATTTCGACAAGTTTTCACTTAGACATGTGTTTTTTTTTCTTCTTCTTAATAATTGTCATTTTACCTTTGGATATATGCCATCTTTTCCTTTCACCATGAAATGTACTCCTCATTTAAAGCGACTAAGAGCAGATTTTTCTTTAATTTAAAAAGCTTACTCGCTACGCTCGCTTGCATATTATAAAGTAGCTTTATAAAGTGTAATTTTCTCGCACTGCGACTTCACAGATCTGAGTTTAAATTCATTTCGCTCGCTCGCATATAAATATTCAGACCATCACATCCAACTGCAAAGTATGATGCTTAAGCAGTATCTTGGACCATGTAAAGAGAGAAACAAACATTGAATCATCCCTTAAAATGTAAACACAATGTAGGGGTATATATTTTACCAATGTCTAAAAATGGATGATATTTTCGCTTTGAGGTTTCCCATTGTAGTTGCCCCTTTTTCGAGAAAGTGCCCATTTTTTTTGTCGGTGCCCTCCTATTTTGAAAGATGCTCCGCCACCCCTGTCTGTATCCCTATAGGACCCAATGTTAGTTTTTTTTTAATTTTCCGCCTGACTTAATTTAAAAGTAAAATAATGGGCCGTGTCGTTGTAGGAAAGGGTCTTTAATTATAAACGCCCTATTTTTGAAAACTCACGCGGCAGGCACTTTGGGTTATCTACAGATAAAAGGCAATGATATCGTAAAGTTTTTGAAGCCCCTCCCCCCCCCTATTATAAAAAAAGACAGTAGTACTCCATAATTATGAAACAGTAAAGAAAAATCTTGAACCAAGTGGTAACGAGAGCTCTTTGGGCTAACTAACTCTAAACGGATTTGAGGATTCCGCTGTATTACAGCTATTATAAATACTAGAATATTTTAACTTCTGTAATATAATAAAAAAAAAAGTGAGTCTTACATTGTATATAAGCTAATTTTGAGGCAAAACTTGGCTGAAAAATCGAGAAAAAAAAACTATGCGAGAAGAGGCGTTTCCGGGTCTTTAAAACATTGAAAACCCATGCAGGAGCTTCTAGGGGCTCCCTGGACCACAGCTGCAGCTTTGCCCCTAGACCCCAAAGCATAATGTTTCAGCCACCCCTTTTGTATCACAAAATCCTGCACGCATGTGGAATGTATAAACAAATTGGGGAGCTTTCATTTGTTTTATTGCAAAACAAGTACTATGTCCCATTTGCAGGTCAACAAAATGAAAAGGATAAATTACAACGGCATTTGAAAGATTTTTTTTTTCCTTCAATAGTTTTTATATCGATTCCCCCCAACAAATAATGGTGATTCATGCCCGCCTCCCCCCCCAAGAAACAGGGGTACTTTTCACGCTACAAAGTGCGGCTCGTAATACACAAAAAACGGCCCGTATTGACTTTACACTCCCCACGTAGGGGCGGGGGGTGTTTTCAAAGGGAGGGAACATGCATACGCGTAGCCTTAATAACACTGAGTGGGGGTGGGGGCGTGGATCCATGTCTTTCACCGAGAAATTATCTTTTGGGGACACTAATTAAAATGGAGACGAAGGGGGGCAGATGCTCCCTTTTCCCATCTCTTCATACTTTGAAAATATTATTGTATTAATTTTATTTAACAATCCTTAATTTTCAGGTATTCTCATAATGGACACTTTTACTTTTTTCTGTATTATCACGATACGTATCTCTCTACAATATAATCACGAACTATCAATATTAGCACTCATAACTTTAGCACATCAATGACTCATCCACCTTTCGTACCGTGAGAAGCCATTCTTATCTAGCACACCCGGAACTACCCACGTTAATCATCCCGGTGACATTAGGGCAACACCGCAGATGAGAGGATCGTTCCCCCGATCGCCACCCGTACATTGCAAACGCTCGCAAGGCTCATAAGCCGAGGCCAAGTGACTAGCGACAGAAGCTGCCCCTACTCAGCGAATTTTCGACCCCACTTTTGGTCGGAAAATGGCGCAGCCGGGGTCATCAGAACAACAAACGCCTAAAGATGAGCAAGACACAAGTAAGCACTACGAGAA